CTCATCCCGAAAGCTAATGTTCCCCTCACCCAGAGTCCAAAATATGTGCTTCTGAGCACATCTACCAACCATGGTGAGCCGCCTCCATTGCCTGCTATCGCGGGGGTGGTCGTCACCCTACAAGGGTGAGCAGCGCCTCCAAGACAGTACTTTCGACGAAGATATTGGACCCAGAGTGACTTAGCCTCCCAAAAGCGCCACCACATCTTATAAGAGAATGCAGTGACGACATCCAAAAAGCGACGAATCCCAAGACCCCCCTCAGAGAAGGGCCGGCAATCGAGTCCCACCTCACCCAGTGGACATGTCTCCCTCTCTGGGAGCCCTCTCCATGCCCCCAAAAATATCGAGCCAGTATCTGATCTAACTCATGAAGAGTAGACTTGTAGGGGTCAAGGACCGTAAGGAGATGGAGCGGTAGGGTGCTCTTGATCAGAGCAAGTCGACCTCCAAAGGAGAGATATCTGTGAGACCAACCGGAGATCCGGTCAATCATCCTCTGCCTGACGCCAGTAAAGAGCTAATGCGAGAGGTGGCCCTTGTACAGGGGGCACCAAGATAAGTAATGGGGAGGTCGCCCCACGCAAAATCAGCGCGCTCGTGGACCCAATGGGCCCACTGGTCTGCAATGTGATGATCAAGGGTGAATTTGCTCTTTTGCACACTGACCAGCTGACTAGAGACCGAGCTATAATGCCCCAAGAGGTGCATGAGCTCAGCCAATCCATTATTATCCGCACGAGTGAAGATAATAATGTCATCTGCATAAGAGAGGTGCGAAATGGAAGGACCATAGCCGCGCGTGCTATAGGTTATCCTCGAGAAGTCACGGATGAAGCCGTCAAGGCAACGAGACAGATAGTCCGCCGCCAGGACAAAAAGGGAGGGTGATAGAGGGTCACCCTGCCGAAGGCCGCGGGTGGAAGGGAAGAAGTCAGTGAGGCTACCGTTAACTAGAACCGAGAATGTGCAGTGCTCCACGCATGCCTCCACAAAACTAATCCAACGCTAGGGAAGCCCATCCGAAACAGAACCTCCCTGAGAAACGGCCACTCGACCCTATCATATGCCTTAGCAATATCTAGTTTCAGCACAAGGTTCGGGGCTCGTAACCGGTTCGCATGGGAGATGTCATGGATCATCTCCTGAGCCAAAAGGATGTTATCACTGATGACTCGATTCTTGATGAAACCACTCTGGTTCGGAGAGATGAAAGAAGGGAGAAGAAGGGCTAGGCGACCGTTTAGGATCTTGGAGATGATCTTGTTGGTCACATTACAAAGGCTAATAGGTCTATAGTAGGACCAGGAGCTCGGATCAGGTCTTTTAGGAATCAAAACAACAGAGGTCGCTGTGAAGGACTTCGACATCTGGTGACCCGAAAAGAAATCCACCACAGCTTCCTCAACGTCAGTCTCAACAATCTCCCAGCAGGCCTGAAAGAAGAGAGACGAATAGCCATCTGAACCAGAGACACTGTTGGGGTCAATCACAAAAACAGCCTCCCTGATCTCCTCCTTACTAGGGAGGTCGCATAGGTCAACAGGGTCGACCGTCTGCGAGATGGTGGGAAAGAAGGAAGCGTCAGGGGGCGTAAGCAAGTCGCGATCTGAGGTGAAAAGGGACTGAAAGTGTGTCACAGCCGACATGATATTAATGGTTGTCCTTTATCTCACACGATTGCATGTGCGTTGGAATATTGACATGATATTAATGTGCGTTGGAATATTGACATGATATTAATGGCCGATCTTTAGATAATATCACTACAAAAAAGTTGTTATATTTCAACGAAAATCCTACTGTAATATATTCCAATGGAAATTCCAACGGATATTCCAATGGTATAGCTTCCGTTGGAATGTGTTTTAATTGAAATTTTAGATGGAATTTGATGATTCCAACGGCTTTTTACTATAGAAATTTCCGTTGGAATATACAATTTGCGTTGGAATTTTTATTTCCACCCCCGTTGGAAAATCTACTGTTGGAATCTTCAAAATCCAACGGAAATTCCAATGGAAAACTCATTCCAACGCAATATTTTTGTTGGAATGTCTGTTGGAATCAATTGAAAAATTCCAACGGAAATAATAGCATTGAAATATCCATTGAAATTGTCGTTAGAATAATTCTATTACTATATATTTCCGTTGAAATTTTATCTTTTTCTTGTAGTATATGATGCATCTTATTTATTGTAAAATATGTAAGTTAGTTATGGGCCAAAAGATACAATTTATCGGAAATTGAGAAATTATTTCTTCTCTCGAGCGCTCTGTAATGTGCCTCAATTATTTTTTATATTGATTTAGTGATTCTAATTTTACAATACACCTCTTTTTTGGGAAATTTTTGTATCTCCTACACAAAATTAAAAATATTACAATAATACCAATCATAAACAAATAATTGTAACTCTATCTAATTCTCTATTCTTTATTGCATTAAAGACTAAAAGTCAGTTACCTAAAAAAGGTGGACTTCCATCCCCTTTTTCCGCATGATTTCAAGCTGTACAATAACAAGGATACTTTATTCATAACTGACTTGCTTTCTATCCTATCTACACGTAAAAGAGTTTTCATCACTAACCGCCTGCAAACTAATGCATCGGAATAAAATAGATGCGTGGAAAAATATTATATTTAAGTATATATTGCGTTTATGTTAGTATATATTCAGTGTATGATAAACGTGAGGTATATTTTGTGATTTTAACGTTCATTCAACTGTACATGATTCTGATTTTACTGAAAATATACCGAAAATATACTCGAAAAAACGAGGACGTGAACTTTTATAAAAAAATAAAAAAGAGAAGGATCGATCATAACTATTTGTAGTTTATTAACAGTATGTTTCTTGTTTAAAAAAATATCTTTCACGTTTTATTAACAGTATATCTTTCATATTTTTATTAACAGTATATTTCTAGTTTATTAATAATATATTTCTAGTTTAATTTTCTTTCGTCTCCTCCTTCATAATTTAATTTCGAAATCAATTCTTATTTACCGTCCAATCTGCAAATATAATAAATAACACCTTCATTTAAAAAGATAGTGTTGATGAGCCCGAGACTCTCAGTCAAAAAGCTTCTGCCACATGCATCTCTTTCATGGCCTAAAAAGAAATTCAAAGATAGCACCAAGAAAATTGCATGAAAAGTTTACAAATACCCAAAAAGCAGCATGTGTTTATGTGTTGAGTGGAGAGGGCAGATCAGATAAATCTCTTGAGCCGCCATTGTTGAGACAGAAAGTTGAGCGGAGATGGAGGAAGATCTGCTCAGAACAGAAAGGAGAGGGAAGAAGATCTGTTGAGATTTGTAGGTTTGGGTTAATTAAGGATCTAAATTCTATTTAATATTCCCGAAATTAAGGATTTAAATTCCATTTAAAGATCTTAGGTATAATTGTAATATTTTTACCTTGATTTAGTGATTTTATAAATAAAAATATAATAGGTATATAATTGTAATATAAATTATATATGATAGTAAGGGGTGTAAATTCCTCCTCTTTTTTCAGACCCTTTTTCAGAAAATGTCACATTTGTATTAGTCCATCCATCGGCCCCGTAGAAGAGTACTTTTAGAGTGTTGCCAATGGAGTACATTTTCAAAAATGCCTTTAATTTATGAGGATAAATAAGTCGTCATTCTTCTTCTTCTTCTTCTTTTTTCCTTATTTATTGTCCAAAGTTATAATAGAATCTTCAGCGTAAAACTAGGGTTTATTCTAGATCAATGCGTAAAAGAGGG